GCAAGCCATTCAAGAGGAGGGAGAGGACGGTCTTGTCATCCATCTCTTCCACCTTGTCTACCTCTTCCTTCCACCGGGTAAGGAACTGAGTGAGGTTCTCAGACTCCCTCTGCCCGGCTGTACTAAGATAGGTGAACTTCTTCCTCTTAGTACAATTCTCCTGGAACTTGGCCTTGAACTTTGAGGCCAAATCACTGAATGAGTCAATGCTTCCCGGGCGAAGCTTATTGAACCATTCAGTGGCTCGGTTCCGCAAGGTCTGGAAGAAAAGTAGGCACTTTTCTTCATCGGTGCAACCGTTCATGGTCGCACTCTGGTTGAAGGAATCCAGGTGGATTTCCGGGTCTTCCTTCCCGGTGAATCTGGGGGCGTCGATCTTGACCTTTCGCGGGAAAGGTGTCAGATGGACCCTTGTGGTGAACGGGGACCCTGCCAGGGGTTTGTCCCGGTCATTCTTCTCCCCGACCTTCTTTTCCAGCCTTTCCAGCTTTGCCTCCATCTGCTGGACGCGGTCGTTTGGGATGGTTAACCAGTTCGCCACCGGTAACCTGGGCTGGCTTTCTGCCTCCCCTTTCTGGTGGGAGGCCCTCATCCTCGCTGGCTCCTGCCGGTTAGACCGGGAGCGCCGGGTGCGGGCAGGCTCGGCCTCCCGCACCTCGCCTAGCCGGGCGAATGCGCTGACATGGGCGACGCTCTGCCCCAGCCTTTGCTTGGCTGACTTCCTCTGGCCTTCCTCCCTATCCCCCAGCCTTTCGAAGGCGGAGTTTCGGGAGGTCGCTGGCCGGATGTTTTTTCCTTTCTTCTTCTCGTGGGCCCTCGGGATGTCCCACTCGCCGTCATCGCTCTCAATTGAGACGCAATGACCATCAGGAGTGATCTGTGGATCCGTAGCTTGCGGGGGACGCGACGGCCCTGCAGCGTTAAGTGCACCGGCCAAGTTGACAGGGGCCATGGTGCTGACCAGCTGGGGCTGGAAAGGTGATGGTTGCGGCATCGGCGTCTGGAACAACGTCACCGCCATCGGAGCTTGTAGGGGCATGGTCCCCGCGCCTGGAAGGGCGAATGGGAACATACCAGGGAGGAAAGGCATCCCCCCGTTCTGTTGGCACATGGCCATGACCTGGCCAAAGCCCTGGATGGCTTGTAGGTTGGCTGGGTCATTCATGAACTGAGTCATGCTTGGTGGGAA